GGTTTTTCGGGGAAATGAGCCACATCTCGCCAACCATCGCAGTGCAAACATGACTTGGGATGCCAAGGCATCTTTGGACGAACCCATTTAAAAGAACGATCATTCAATGGTTTGGTTTAAGGGAATATCTACAAGAACCTCTGGTTTTCGCCTCCAAATGTAGAGGTTTCCTCTGGTTTCCTGCAGATGTGCCCTGCAACTCTCGAATTCAATAGGTGAAGTTTACTGGCGGATCCTGGATCAACACCTAGGTCCGCTCTCCAACTCCCATCCCTTCGCCCGGCGTTGGAACAGACTGTTCCTTGCTCTCGGACACCACCAAACAGGCCAACGCACACAAGGGATAGGCACCTTGGCAGCCAGGGGCCAAGTCATCTTCACTAGCCTTCCCACCACCCCCACCTCTGCCATTAAAACAAAACATATCGTGATAGCCGAAAAGTAATTCCTTCTGTTCAACACCCCCAAACGAAAACATGGTGGGTGTAGGGGATGAAACCACATATTTAGGACCCCTCAGGATGTAGGGCCCCCGGATCCCACATGGGCGTGTCCGAAAATGCTGGATGCAACCCGCCGACAAACCAGTGCTTCCCCCAAATTTTCAAATGTACAGACACACCGACCTACAATCCATAAATAAATTGGAAACCAACAGTTCCGCTGGTTTGGCCTGCAATGTCCTGCAATTTTCTTGCCCCTATCCTTATTGATCCTCCAGTTGCCCATCCCCCCGGCTCTGTCACCACTTCAAGTCAGGCGGCAGCAGGACAGTCCTGGGGCGAGCGGCTACAACAATCCGGACTTGGAGGGCCCAATCCTCCTCCCCCCCCTCATCCTCATCATCATCCTCATCATCATCATCATCAGCAGCAGCAGCATGATCAAGACTGCTCCAGCTCTCCTGGAAATCTCTTACTTGCGCGACATCCCACCATCACCCCCACGCCATATCAAAATTCCACAGAAAAGCTGGTGCCTACTCTTCCCCTAGCCCTAGGTTTTTCGACCTATTCTGGGCCATTTCTCCCGTCCTATGAGTCCCACGCCCAGCACGCGGAAGGACCACTGCCCGCGCTTGAACTCTGGCCCCGGCAGCGGCAGCAGGGCCACCAGTGCCAGCGGCAACTGCAGCAGACTGACGCCGCCTGGGGCGCCATCACCAATGATAAAAATCATCAACTTTCTATGAAAATGACCCGAATTCCAAGAGATCCATTTCTATCCATTTATATCCATTTATCTACTGCAATGATCCAGTATGGAATATAGATATATGTATGTGCATTCAAATATATATATATATATAACCCATGTTCATTCCATCAAGGGTGAGAAAAACACATTTAAACCGTGACCCCCGGCTGCCAAGTCACAGCAGAGTTTCGAGGAACGCTCCGCCGAGCGCCGTAGTGCAGGGTACGAAGCCACCATGGCTCCGGGCTTTCAACGGCTGTTGCATCAATCTTCCGGCTAAATGATGGGAACGTGGTTAATAAACATATCCGTACCCCAGTTATATATATATATATAAGTGTGTGTGTGTGTGAGTGTGTGTGTGTGTGTATGTATGTACTAAGTAAGTACGTACGTACGTACGTAAGTATGTGTGTATGTATGTATGTATGTATGTATGTATGTATGTAAGTATGTATGTATGTATGTATGTATGTATGTATGTATGTATGTATGTATGTATGTATGTATGTATGTATGTATGTATGTATGTATGTATGTGTGTATGTATCTATCTATCTATCTATCTATCTATCTACCTACCTATCTATCTATCTATCTATCTATGTATGTATGTATGTATGTATGTATGTATGTATGTATTACTGTACTGTACTGTACTGTACTGTACTGTAACGTAATGTAATGTAATGTAATGTATGTACGTATGTACGTATGTATGTACGTATGTATGTATATATGTGTGTGTGTGTCTGTATATATGTATGTATGCATGCATGCATGCATGCATGCATGCATGCATGTATGTATGTATGTACGTATGTGTGTATGTGTGTATGTGCGTATGTGTCTATGTGTCTATGTGTGTGTATGTGTGTATGTGTGTGTGTATATGTGTGTGTATATGTGTGTGTGTGTATGTAAATGTATATGTATGTAAATGTATATGTATGTAAATGTATATGTATATGTATGTGTATGTGTATGTGTATGTGTGTATGTATGTATGGATGTATGGATGTATGGATGATGTGTATGTGTGTATATGTGTATGTGTGTGTGTATGTGTGTGTGTATGTATGTGCATGTATGTGCATGTATGTGCATGTATGTGCATGTATGTGCATGTATGTGCATGTATGTGCATGTATGTGCATGTATGTGCATGTATGTGCATGTATGTGCATGTATGTGCATGTATGTGCATGTATGTGCATGTATGTGCATGTATGTGCATGTATGTGCATGTATGTGCATGTATGTGCATGTATGTGCATATGTATGTGTGTATGTGCATATATGTATGTGGGTATATAGCCCCGCGAAACGGGGACTTACATCTGGCTTATATGGTTTATTAACCACTGCCTTTGTGTTAACTCACTTAAGTCTTAAGTTCATTTGATATGACGCTGAAGTGAAAATTCCCGCATGTTACAAAGTACTCTTCCGGTCATGTTCTACTTTCATAAGATTCTGTTTCTTGTTCGCGGCATGCGTGGAAAATCTGTTCGGCTGGAACCTGTCTGGAACCTGTCTGGAACCTGTCTGGAACCTGTCTGGAACCTGTCTGGAACCTGTCTGGAACCTGTCTGGAACCTGTCTGGAACCTGTCTGTTTCGATGTTTCGATGTTTCGGGCGCTTCGCTGAATTCATCAAGCAGATGATTGTTCAGTGTACTGTTACCCTTGCGCGAGCTGAGTTTTTTGTTCAACTATGATGGAGTGTGCTGACAATATCGCAACTTATCTCGGGCTGTGAGCCACCTCCCAGACCGAGGGATTAAGAAAAACCAGAGATGACATGCGGAGATACGGACTCGATCCGATGATAAAAAGTGCTTGAAGAACCTAGATATACCATCTAGAGAATTAAAACAAAAAGAACCGCTCCTCGACATATTCCGGGCCATTATTAATCGATTCCCAATAATGATAAGATCCTTTACTATGACTATGAGTTTTCTGTGAGGTCGCAGCCAGTTTTTATTGAAATCCGATAGCACTTTTGAAGAAAGATAAGTGAATAAGCCCTTGACTACTTCCATATCATGGAAGATATACCCAAAATTGGCTGGACCTGCAAAAATATTCATCTTTAAAGAAGTATATAGCAGAAGTTATCACGCCAAAAAAATGTTGATATGGATTTGCTTACAGGGTCCCCAAAAAAATAGATCGAATCCCCTTGGATTCCCGAAATGTGGGTTTCCCATTGGGAAACCTTTGAAAAATCAAACAAATCTGGATAAACTACGTATATTATGTTTATATATATATATCTCTCTCTCTCTCTATGTGTGTGTGTGTTATATATATAACAACCAAGCAAGTTTTTGGTATAGTTACCCCTACTGACCATCACCTTTTCGCAAAGCCAGGTTCACCCGGCCCTTCGCAGCGAGCTAGGGCGGCTGAGGCGGCTGGCCGTGTTGTTGGTACATCTCTCCGGGCACCAGGCACTCCAATACCTCGGTCCATCGGGCTGTTGGCGCATCCCCCAACCCCAAAAAGTTTGATCAGTTAAACCTGGTTGAACCATGCCAAAATATATATATGTGTATGTATGTATGTATGTATGTATGTATGTATGTATGTATGTATGTATGTATGTATGTATGTATGTATGTATGTATGTATGTATGTATGTATGTATGTATGTATGTATGTATGTATGTATGTATGTATGTACGTACTGTATGTATGTACGTACTGTATGTATGTATGTATGTATGTATGTATGTATGTATGTATGTATGTATGTATGTATGTATGTATGTATGTATGTATGTATGTATGTATGTATGTATGTATGTATGTATGTATGTATGTATGTATGTATGTATATTATATATATATATTATATTATATATATATTATATATTATATATATTATATATATTGTATATATATATATATATTGTATATATATTGTATACATATTGTATACATATTGTATACATATTGTATATATATATATTGTGTATATATTGTATATATAATGTATATATTTATTTATTGCATATATATATATTGTACATATATATATATATATGTATAATGTATATATATATATTGTATATATATAATATATATTGTATATATATATAATATATATTGTATATATATATATATAGCCAATCAATTATTCAATATATATATATATATTATACCCCCCAAAGCTGGGGCCCCAAAGTAACTATTGCATATATATATATAATGTGTATATTTATATATTGTTATATATTGCATATATATATATATATTGTTTTATGTATTGTATATATATATATTGTATATATATATATAATGTATATAACTGTATATATATATATAGCCAATCAATTATTCAATATATATATATATACCCGGGGTGTTGAATTTTAGGGGAAGGGGATGATCGAATAACAATCAAGAATCGTGGCAAATCTCTGCATGGTGCTGGTGGCTGGTGGTTTCAAAGGAACAAAAAACGTATCTCCAATGGGGATGAAGACGGAGACTGCGCAATAACAAGTGCAAAGCCAGCCAGTGATTCACAATCCTTCCACCTTTTCAACCCACACATGCTGTGTGAGTCCCGCCTACCGATCTGGTGATGCAAAGTGAAACTGTCTGGTCATTCCCAGTTTTTAGGACGCCAGGTGCTGCATTTCATGGTGAGAAAATTCCCCTCTGTCAAGCACCCCCCCACCTGCTCAAAGTCACAGAGGCACAAAAAAACAATCATGCATGGATATGAGTGAATATTACCGTAATGGATATCAACTGGATATTAGTGGCATATGTTCTTCAGATTCTTCCTGATTTGATGATGATCCCCACCACGTCCGCGGGCCATGGCCCAATTCGGGCCCTAAAAATCCTCTGGCTCCGGCGGAACCGGCTGCAACAAAGACTCGTCCGGACCTGGGCGAAGTTTTGATGCTACAATTATCGCAATCTGTCTGCCAATACCCTTGCCAGTGAACTTTCTGACCAAGTATGATATAAACACACATATATATATATAAATATATACATATTATTACATATTTATAGATATCCACTTCATAAATAATATCTTGCCCAACATATCGTTGCCATTCCCTTGGCGAATTCGATGCCATTCGCGCCTAGGCGTTGGGGCGGCAACCACTTCTTCTCCGCGATGTCGTAGGCTTCATAGGTGTCCAGGACCACCTCTGAGAGCACCCTCTGGTAAACATAGCTATGGAAAAGCACCATTGTTTTGGTAGATAAATCATGAAAAATCATCTCCAAAAACCATTTTCCATAGCTACAAACTGGGAAATCACCATTAAATCATCATGAAATCATCATGAAATCCCATGAAATCGTCATTTGTTGATGGTTAAACCACCATTTTCCAAGCTTTTTCAGCAGCAATGCTGATTCCCATGGTCCCACGCCTTGCCATCCAACCCACCCACCACATAGATCCGCCCAGCCAGCGCGAAGGAGGCGTGGCCCACCCGTGGAATACTCATGGAGGGCAGCTCCTGAGGAAAATCCACGTCTTTTGAAGGGGATCATAGGGATTCGCAATCAAAAAAAGCTGAAAAATGTGTTTTTTTTTTCACCTTTATCGATCTTCACATCTGTTGAAGGTGGAAATGAATATGGGTGTTGAAGGAAGGATTCAGCAACAAAAATGGCGGTAAAAGGATGCCATAAACGGAGATGATCCTAATTTCTCCAGACAATTTAGCCAGTGTACAAGGTCAGAGCCGCCTAGATAGCTGAGCTGGTCTCTTCCTAGGTGATCACCACCTTGCAGGTTTCTTTGATGATTTATCAATGTAGTAACCTGGACATACATCTGTGTGTGTGCCTGCACATGTATCTACATACGCATATATAAGCATGTGTATATATATATATTATGTGTGTGTGTAATGTATATGAGCAAATTCATATTCAGTAAATATGTTTATTTACATGCATACAGTAAGTGATTTCAAAATGCATAAAATGCCCTGATTACAGTAGATGACCCAAGGGTAAAATGCGTTTTGAGAGTCTTCTGGTTGGTGTGATTCATCACACCTAAAAAATGAGACGGCCAAACTTCCGCCGGTCTGGATCAAGGTCTGCCCAGCCCATTGTCTGCAGTTATTTGTTGTACATATCAGCCACCATCAATGGATAGCTCAATTTTCCTATGTTCTGCTGGTTTATTTAAATGCCTGTTCTCTTTGGTCATCTTCCCAATGGTTGTTAGTCAAACAAATATCCAAAATCAACAAACGCCAATGAACAAATATTGATTGTTACCTATCCAAGATTTGCATAACTCCTCCCAAATCAAGCACGGAATCTTGAGCAATAATATCTATATCATCAGATGCCCACTGGTAATTTAACATAGCCATGGAAAATTAGCCCTGTGCAGATGATTTACCTATTGTATTCGGCCCATGGCTTTCCATCGCAAAGCCTTAGATAACCAGAAAGTAATGATTGGATCAAGAGTACCACCTGGGCGTTGAATCACCCAGATACAAACAGCCCATGATCCTTCTCATTTCCCTTTTAAAGATGGTATGATCATCCCCCTGTATGGCTTTTATCTATTGAGGGAGAAAGAACGCGACATTATTTGTGGCTCTCCGAGATTTACATTACATACCTCCTCCAAAATCAAGGTTCACAATGACAAAGATCATAATTAACACAAATGAGAAGTATCAACATATGACGAGCCTCCAAATATCCAGATATCATAGAAGATTTTGATATTCACACATTATCTTACAGTGGATCTGGCTGAATAATACTTCACTAACCTGAAAATAGCTGAAACTTGCGGCCATTTGGGAATGATTCTCCGCAATCTAATCATCATTCCATTGACGTCACAGTGAGGTCACAATAAATTCATCCAGATTAAGACTCCGTCATCTCCCAATATATCCCATTATACCACCATGTTTGTTTGTAGATCTCCTTATATAATATGAATCATGAACAGTGCTTAATTGTTAATAATGGATCAAAAAAATGTCGAACATATAACAACATATATGATTATGGTTCATACCAATAATATCCTTAGTTGTTAATTGATATAATATGTCATAATGAGTTATTATGGAAGCCTCGATGGATCAGAAAATCATGAATTATCAATTCATAATTGTCAACATAAGTCGGTCAACGATTAAGCTAAGATCATTGACAATGTCACCATAATCATGCCCCCAAGGGATCCTCAATTGATCGTTCATCATGAAACTAATAACTGGAATATAATGGATCATCTATTGGGATTATATACATATATATGTGTGTGTGATAGAATTTATAGAAAAAGAATTGATAGTGTGGGATTATTAATTGTCAAAGCTGGTGGGTGGTTTCAACCCCTCTGAAAAATATGAGTTCGTCAGTTGGGATGATTATTCCCAACTGAATGGAAAGTCATAAAATTCCATGGTTCCAAACCACCAATCAGATCATCATCATATTCCCATTGTTGCTGGTTTATACCAGATTAACCACTATTAATATCACTATTTTCCAAACCACCAACCAGAAATATTGTTATTCCATAGATTAACCATAGATTAACCATAGAAAAAAGATTGAAAATCTGATCGGATCGCTCCTCCCAGCTCTGCTTCTTGGTGTTGAAGACTTCCATGGAGGTCAACACATCCATGCCGTCCGACCCCCCAGTGACCTGAAAAAAAGAACGGTGATAAATCACCCAGCAAAACTGGGGTTTTACCAGTTTTGGCAGTGTCAGTTAGCGACAAAAAGAACGGATTGAACCAGAAAAAAACCATTCAAAGGATTGGTAAAAAATGGGAAAATGACCGGAAACTATCGAATTTTACACTCACAACTTTTTGGATTTCCTGGTTTTGTTCACACCCAGACTGAAACCTTTCGCAGGGTGACCGTTGTTGAGCAAGCCAACCCACAAGAATCAGTGCAGCATCAGTATCCCCTTTTTTGGGAATTCAATGCCAACAAGATCTCAAACAAAAACTCCTTCAGATTTAGAACTGTGGTTAACCCTTCCTGGCACATTTCTACGTGCTAATGTCAAGTTACATGGTTTCTGGTTTATGGGAATCCAAACACCATGGGCACATAAATGCCTGAGCAAAAATGGATTTCTACATTCAGTCCCCGAGAACTAGGCATGCAATCCAATTTCATCCAATAGTTGGTTATATATCCCATCAATTCCCATGATCCCATGAAATCACCATAAAATCCCCATGGAATCCCACCATTCTTCACCATAAAATCACCATAAAATCCCCATGAAATCACCATTTTTCATGGCTAAATCCAACCTTTGACCATCCCCCAAGATGGGAAAAAAAGCGCCGAGCCGCATAGATCAACTCCTCGCCCTGGTCGTTGGGGAAGACACTGCAGGCCGGACCAATGCGCCCAACCGCCATAGGAGGCATCGGCAGCCACCTGGCGGCTGGGGGTATAGTGATATAATAGGGGGTTAGCCATCAACAAATGAGGACTTAGTATTGATTTTTATCCCATAGATTATCCAGAATAAGTCCTCATTTGTGGATAATTGATGGTTTCACCATGTGATACACCATTATTACGGATTTGTTTTGATGGTTTAATAGGGTTTAATGGGAATATCATGGACTATTGGGTCAAATAATGCCATAAACCATCCCCCAGTCATCACCATAAATGGGTGGTATAAACCATCAATATGTATATATATATATACTGTATATATCCCCATGATTATCCCATTGTAAAGTCATGAATAGGTGGTATATGTATAAACCATTCCCAGTCATGGCTGGTTTATGACATTGTTTTATCCACATTAGCCTCTGGTAAATGAAGAGGTCGACCCGAACAAAATGATCCTATTTTTGAGTGGTGGAAACGAGTTTCTTCCAACCCCGAATGCCAGGGTCATGTGAATTTACTGGAGAGTGCGGGAGATGGAATGTGGATGTAAGAAAAAATCTACATTACCCTGCGGTAATCAAACATGGCAATGGAAAATTCATCAATGGAATTTTAAATGATGGGAAAATCATCTATAAATGGGGGATTGTCCATTGGCGTGTTTGATCACTGGAGGGTAAAAGCAGTTTTCAACTCTGGTCTTTGAAAAAATGTGACCATCCGGTCATCTCAATTGCACATCTCCGAATAAAATTGGCATAAAAATCAAAATATCCTCTATACATATATATATATATATATGTGTGTGTGTGTGTTTGCGTGCGCGTGTGTATATATGATTATATATATATATATATGTGTGTGTGTGTATGTATATGTATATGTATATGTATATATATGTATATGTATATGTATATGTATATGTATATAATATGTATATGTATATAATATGTGTGTGTGGGATATTTCTATTATGTGCCCAATTGACCACACCCATGTGTTTTTTTTCGCTCTCTCTCTCTCTCTCTTTCTCTTTCCATATCGCCATCAGGTCACCCTGCCCTAGCATCGGCTCTCCCTCTTTCGAGATTGCCATGTCCATTAAAACGATAAATTACCTAGTACAGGGTAAAACAGGGACCAAGTTTTTCACACAAAAAAAAGACATCAAAAACCCCTCATCCATGGATATCTCCCATTTACAATGGGAATTTCCCATAGAAACCTCCCATTTTTCATGACCATTTCCGATGAATTCATCCCCCAGCAAGCCCCGAGCCGAGCCCCAAGCCGCGCCTCTCGCAGTAGAGCTCAAAAACCTCCATGCTTCGATGGGCGCGTGGCCGACTCTCATCCTTCACCTGTCGTTCCTGACCTGGACCGGAACGACCATGGGGCCATGAATTTTGAGATCGAAATATCTCGAAATTGGTTGGCCCAGGGAAGTTCATTGTTGGAATCCAGGGCTGTTCAAGAATGACATGTGGTCGGTGAAAGCCCCCAGAGGATGGCCCCCGAAACGCGACGGGAACCTCGGGAACCTTTCGGCTGCAAAAAGTGGTGCTTCCGCAGCTAAGAATGCATGGCTAGTTCGCCCCTAGATATCCCAAGCAATATATGTCCAAATGCAAACAAGCCAAGGCTCGTATAGGCTCGTCCTAGTTGAGGACTACTTCAGCTCGTGTTTGCATTATATGTATATATGTATGTATATATTTACATCTATATGCCTATATCTATATCTATATCTATATCTATATCTATATCTGTGTGTAGTTGTTAATATCTTCTCAAAATCAATACTGGATCGAGGTCAAAAAAACCTCTAGCAGGGCCTCCAATGGCGTAGACGTTGCCACCACTGGAGGCCATGACGTGATAGGACCGCGCCACGGCCATAGGGTCCATGCTGCCGCTCCAGGAGTTACTCCTGGTGGGATGGGAATTGTGGCGATTTCATGGGATTTCATGGATTTTAATGGGGTTGGGGTGTTTTTAACGGGTTGAATGGGGTTTACAGTCATAAGACTTAGTTAGCTAAGTTGGTTTATCACTAGTGCAACAGTATCACTATGGTTTGTGGTCGATATATCTACCTAGTTAATCGGGTTTATAAAGCAACTTATACCTGGAGAGGGGAAGCACTTTCTGGGGAATAGATCACCGTTCTATCTTTTTTGTGGTGACCCCTTGTGACCCCAGCAAGCCTTTTTTTACCATAAAAATTATGATTTAAACAAAACACACGCGATGGAAGTTATACCCCCAAGTTTTTTTGGAAGCAATATCAATACTTGATGCTTTGATCATATGTTCAAACTCTCACATTATATAATGAGGTAAACCCAGTTTTGAATAAACCATCAGAAACCATCCTGCATTTCATCAGATCTGGTTGGTAGGTAGAAACCATCCAAACTTCAGGTGTTGGTGATATGTTCAGATCCTCAAAAACCATAATGATACAACAATGATACACAAACCATGGACCATAAGGGATCCTTTGTTGGGTGTTGATTACACCCTTTTCAAGGTAGATGGCTCCGCCCTCTTCCAAAGTGCGCGTATAGATGGCGCCGACTTTTTGAATTTTGACACCCGAAAAGGGCGTGACATCCATCCCCGTTATTTTTGTGGGCCGCGCCATCTATGCCAGAAAATGTTTCAGGGTTGCGCCATCTATGCAAGGATTCTTAAGTCCAAAGTTTCCAAGCCTCCATTTCCCTTCTCCTCTCCCTTTGCCCTTAACTTCCCCTTTCTCCTTCCTCCGTTCCCTTTCTCATTCCCTTCCCTTTTTCACCTTCAGCTTTCCTTTTCCCCCTTCCTTTTCTCAATTCCCTTTCCCTTTCTCCTTTCTCCTTTCCCTTTCCCTTTCTCCTTTCTCCTTCATTGTTCTCCTTTCTTCCTTTCTCCTTGCCCTTTCTTTTTCTCCTGTTTCCTTTCTCCTTTTCCTCCTCCTTTTCCTTTCCCTTTACACATGGAACGCAGTGGTAACCTATAGATGGCGCAATCCACAGTTATGGTTTCCCCCGAAAAAAAATCCTGTTGCCTGTCCCTTTCCCTTTCTCCTTTCTCCTTTCCCTCCTCCTTTCAATGTCCCTTTCCCTTTTTCCTTTTCCCTTCTCATTTCCCTGTCCCCTTTCCCTTTCTCCTTTCCCCATTTCTCCTTTCCCCGTTCCCTTTCTCATTCCCTTCCCCCTTTTCCTTTCTCCTTTCCCTTTCACTTTCTTTTTCTCCTCTTTTCCCTTTCCCTTTACAAATGGAACGCACTGGTAACCTATAGATGGCTCAACCCACAGCTATTTATGGTTTCCCAAAGAAAAATCCTGTTGCCTCCCTTTCGTTTTCTCCTTTCTCTCCTCCTTTCAATGTCCCTGTCCCTTTTTCCTTTTCCCTTGTCCTTTCCCTTTCCCCTTTCTCCTTTCTCCTTTCCCTTTCTCATTCCCTTCCCCCTTTTCCTTTCTCCTGTCCCTTTGTCCTTTTCCCTTTCTTTTTCTCCTTTTTCCTTTCTCTTTTCCCTCCTCCTTTCCCTTTACCTTTACAAATGGAACGGTTCGGTAACCTATAGATGGCGCAACCGACAGTCATGATTTCCTGAAGAAAAGCCCTGATCCCTGTCCGTTTCGTTTTCTCCTTTCTCCTTTCTCCTTTCCCTCCTCCTTTCAATGTCCCTTTCCCTTTTTCCTTTTCCCTTCTCATTTCCCTGTCCCCTTTCCCTTTCTCCTTTCCCCATTTCTCCTTTCCCCGTTCCCTTTCTCATTCCCTTCCCCCTTTTCCTTTCTCCTTTCCCTTTCACTCTCTTTTTCTCCTCCTTTCCCTTTCCCTTTGCAAATGGAACGCGCTGGTAACCTATAGATGGCGCAACCCACAGCCATCTCTCCGTGTTTTGACTTGAGCCATCTCTCCATGACACAAGCGGATGGCACTGTCCCAGGGGGTTGCGCCATCTATTTAGTAGTGAGGGGGAAAAAAAAACGAGAAAAACTATTGTTGAACACACATCCCCGTTATTTTTTCAACGCTTTGATGACCGAAATGTCCGGTCCCGGAAGAAGGGATTTAAATTAAAAATGGGGTAGATGGCGCAATTTGGCCCATTTTGCACATGTAGGGTTGCGCCATCTTCTGGGCACTTTTGCTGTTTCGGGTACATATCCTTTAAAAAAAATCACTGTTAAATAGATGGCGCAACCACCTCTGAAAAAGTAGGTCTGAGCCATGTACTTTGAACCCGGAGTATAAGATTTCTTACAGCCAAAACAGAAACACACACATTGAGTAGAAAACCAAATTATACTGTAAACGATCCTGTGTCTCAACTATAACCCTGGCCATACCACAGCTAAATGAACCATTCCCAAAAATGATTATGATTAACTATAAGATTGCAATGTTTAAGAAAACGGACTGATGGTTAACATTGTCAAACTAGTTCATCTACTTATCGGGTCTAATTACCGCTAGTAAAGCATGGAGTTCTACTAAAACCAACCAGGGGTATAACAATTAATTCTATCCCCCTATACCAAACACCCCCCAGAACCCATTCTCTAGTATAGAATTTGCACACAGGTTTAGGGAATTTAGGGGGTGTGTCATATTAGGGGTCATTATATCCCATTAGGTCCCCATTAAACGAAATAACATCCCGCTAAATCACCATGAAATCACCATAAAATCTGACAAATCCCCCATTTGTGGATGGATAAACCCCGTGGATGATATACCTTTCATCCCATCCGTAACTGCCGTAACTGCCGTAACTGCCGTAACTGACCCCGTGGAACCCCCCACGAACCACCGCTCCTGGGATCATAGACCTCCGCAGAGGCCAGGTCCCGGATGCCGTCGAAGCCTCCGGCCACGTAGAGCCGACCTGGCACCGCCACGGTTTTTCCCGAACAAAACGGGAGGGCAAGATGGTTTTCATGCTTATATATATATATATATAAAGAAAGAGAGAGAGAGAGAGGGAGAAAGAGAGAGATATGTATGGATGTGTGTGTGTGTGTGGATGTATGTGTATATATATATGTGTGTGTGTGTTATATGCATTTACAAAAATAAAGAATATGAGGTGTGCAAACCTAAAAATTGGTTTCAATGTGTTTTTTGATTTGAAACCAGGATTTACGCACTTGAACATGGGTTTTTTGATCAAGACAAGTGTGGCTTTGCATGGTCTTACACATTAAATCTAGAGAGTGCAACGTTGTGGGGCCCTCATTTTTAGAGTGTTTTCTGATGTTTTCTTTGATAAATTATGTTTATTTATCCTCATATTGTTTTTGTTCTATTTTCTATGTTGTTGATATCACTTTGTTTCTGTTGCATTGCTACCTATTGTATCTTAAATTTGGCTCTGGAAAGTTCATATAGAATAGCATAGTAGGGGTGGAGATAAAGCTCATACCATTGGTTCTACACTGTGTTCCTTTGCAAAAGCAGATTATAGATAGACCCATGGAAAGTAGCAAATTCAATATTTGTATCATCATATGAACATGCAACATGTATATATATATATATACAGTTGTGTTACAATACCCAAGAATGATTAATAAGATAAGCTAAGTAAATCTCATAGTCTATGTTAAACAAGTGCCCGTTTTGACATCACCATATAAACTTTCTCATGCAACTGTATTACTATTGCTTAGATTTGGTGGTTTCTACTCTACCAGAAAAAAAACTAAAGTACAGCCTTGCAACATCAGGCAGTTGTAGTTGCAAAGGTTATATCAACAGGACTCAAGTTTTGTCCAAAGATCAACAAAAGTTTGAACACAGATTTCAATGGCTCTACCAAGTCTTGCAATGAAGTGCAAGCTTCATCACAAACTAATAGTGATCATGAAAAAGGCAGGGAGCAAATCACTCTTCTCACATATGTACTGTACAGTGCAAACTCATTTGTTCAAGCTTTTAGTGCGCATGGAATTTTTAAGAATACTTAGAACCAATCTCGGAACAACATGGCAAAATCAATCTTACATGCACGTAGCAGTGATCACCTTCAACCCATCACATGCATGGCCATTCCAGAAGCTTAGTCTCATGGAAGAAATTATGACAATCATTTTTGTATACATGTGTATTCTTGTCGGGGGACTACCTGAACTTGTACATGTTTCTCTGGTAAGCCAACAATGCAGACAAACAGGAAACTTTGCAAATAGTGTTACATACAAGCTGCAATAGCTACACAATCACATAGCATACATATACATGACTCATCATCATGTTCTGGAAATTGCACATGACATGTCCTTCATTGGCAATACCTTTGCAGAGTGGTGAGTTGTATCGGGCTCTTATCATGCTACGCTATGCAATCTTTTTTTCAACAAATATGGAAAGAACATGGACATAGTATGGAAAAAATCCTGCAATCAAAATCAAGCAATTTGGTTAGCCTAAATGGAATTTGCCTGTGACCAGCGCAATCAAACAAGAAAATATCTTCGAGGGTATGCCTACGTATAGCCATGGCATGCCATGGCAAGGAGCAGACCTACCATAAAAGTGAAACGGGATGAAAGCAAAAGCTTAAAAACTCATGCTAAAACCTTCCCAACGATAAACTGGATGTTTCCGTATTTTTCCAAAGATATTATCAGATTAAGATACTGCAGCAAGGGTGATCCTAGCTATCTCTTGAAATACCATGTAAATAACCCATAGAAGCAATCATTGCACCATGTCATACGTTGCCAGCTTGTGTTTGTAGCTTTGAAAAGTTGTGGCACTATTGTTGGCTCTATATATTTGAAATCGAGCTTGAATTGACCCTTGTGTCGAGTTGGACTGCACAAAGACCTCAATGATCTAGCTGCTTGCTCCCCTGGGGTGACTGTAGATGGTCATTCAAGATTACTCATTCAAATGATATTGAGCTTCCTGGCCATGACAAATGTAGCATGTTTTTGAAATAAATGAAGTTCTTCAAATAATATATATATATATCCATATATTTGTTTTAAATATATATATATATGTGGTTATACATGTATAACTGTTCTACTTTCCGTCCTGTTTTCTTCTTGTGCCACTTTTGAATATCATGCACTGGCCCTGGTAGTGGCACAGCATGGCCCTAAGACATGGCGCTTTTTCTTTTTCAACTTAGTATGTCCTTGCCATGCAGCGAAGAAAATCCAAAACTTTAAAAAAATAAAAAGATCATCCAAGATCAGATGGGTTATAGTTAGCATTGGTCTAAGGATAGTGAGTCTGCAAAATTGTTAATTTACATTCTTTACTGATGACGCTGTTTTTAGAATAGACAAATTGAGTGGTATTGCTCATACTACGGTGTGTAAACACCGTTGGGCTAAGTCCGGCTAGATCGTCCGGCCGGTACTGTAGTGCCATCCGTGCGGCCGGTACCGTGGTGCCGGTTCGGATTGAAAGCTGGTTTCCTGGGGTCTGGTCTGTTTTTTCGGCCCTCCCCTCAGGGAGGTCTAGCAGGTAAAAACCAGAGCTTTAGGGTTTCCAGAAGTCTCGAGGAGGAAGCAAGAAAGGAAAAAAGAAACTATACAGATAACTTAGTAGCAATATATTAATCCAAAATTTGACCCGTATCTGTCCATTCCTCTTTCCAGCCATCCACAACGTCCCTTTCTGAAATATAAATAACATTTAAATAACATTGTTCTATCATATTATGGTGTGAGATATTGCAAGACGTGCAAAACAATTCACACAAATGTCTCATCTTACTTTTTGCTGTATTTCCAGAAATGTGGTAGAATGGGGCCCCCATGGCGTGACTTTCTGTAAATCTAAGGGGGTGATGACTAACAGAGGGTTGCAGGTGAATTTCGGCAATGGGGCCATCACAAGGCTTGGAAGGAGACCTCATATGTAACTTCCCTTCCAGGCCAGGGACTTATATGAGCCTTTGAGATCAGCAACCAAACATGATGATGCTTCAATTGTGAGTCCTGGACATATCCAAATGCCTTCCCCAGTCGAAACACACTGGATTTGTTCTGCAGGAAACTGATGGGATAGCCGAAATCCAAGAGTTTCCCTATCTTTTTCACCATTCCGAACCAAAAATCCCCAGAAAAATCAACCTTTGAGCTCTGGCAAAACACCAAGGACCCGCAAATGGCGCCTTCCGCAACCGCAGCTGCGTGCATGGTGCGCTTCACGCCCATGGGTGGCTTGGTGAACCACTGGTCCCACTGACCACTGAGCGGATCCAGGACCTGGTTTGGTTGGAGTCGGATCTAGCTGCTGCTACTGGAGAATCTGGAAATAACTTGATAGAACTAACCAGCTTGATATGATACTTGGGTGTCTCTGAAACTGGTGGTATACCTGCAACTGTATGGCCGGTTTAATGGGAAACTTGATGATCATCCAGTGAATTGTTCTGTGGTTTCCCCTCATTTCCCGTGAAACTGGCTGAAAATGGCAGTTGCAACCCGGATATAAATGGATATGCCTCACCAAACCTACCACAACAAGTTATATCTCAATACTGTAATGGTACCATATTTTAGTGATGTCATAACCAGTGGGCATACGTAGCTGTAGTATAGCTGTAGTATAGCTGTAGTATAGCTGACAATACCTATATCCAATGACATAACAAAATGTAGACGGGCGATGCCCATTTCACAGGGAATGTAACCTGCTTGGTTGAAGCAATAAACTAACTCCGCTGCCTATCTAAGTATCTTTACATCATGGGATTTAATGGGATTTGGCTAAGCTTTAGTCACCAATATTCGATACCGATTGTTTATATCATGACTTTATCATGACTACAATGGTGCTGTGTTCGCATATGCCCCTCGGTAATCAAACATGGCTTGCTGGAAATTTCTCATTTAGTTTGATAGTTTCCCAGCTATAAACCTTTATTTAGTTCGGGGATTTCCCAGCCGGCTATGTTTGGTTATCCCACTATGGTAACTATAGTTTCCCATCAATTCCTATTATATAAAGTCCCACGAATTCCCATGGTATCCCATCAAATCCGAATAAGATCATAGTAAACCACCATTAAATCACCATAAAATCATATAAAGTCCCATCAAAATCCTATGAAGTCTCTATGTTTTTGATGGTTTGGGGGCCCTGAATACCTCGGGCCTCGAAGGTGTTTAAGGTGCGACCATCGGCACTGCCTCCTACCACGTAGATCTTGCCCTGGCGGATGCGTTTAAGGGGCGACTGAAGCATGATCCAATTGAACCAAAAATGGTTCGACTTCACCAAAAATGGTGGTTTAATGGGATTTAATTGGATTTAATGGTGGATTTCATGGTGATTATCAAGGTTTAATCAAGTTTAATCAACAAAAAACAGGAATGTTAGTGGATATACCCTCTGGTAAACTAACAGTTTGCGAACTGGAAAATCACCATTTTCAATGGGTAAATCAGGTAAATCAACTATACATGGCCATTTTCAATAGCTATGTTTGTGTACCAGAGGGTACGTTCACCACTAAATATTTTTTGTGAATTGTTGATTTTGACATTTGGAGGAAAAAGGAGGATACAGCACGGGGATTTTTAAGGACAAAGCCATTGTTGAAGTTGAGTAACAACCCGAAAGGGGGAGTGAATACCAACTATACCACCAAATTGGAATGCAATTGTCAGTAAATGTGGATGTTATAGCACCATGTAAAATCAGAAGGGCAGTTGTCAATGAAAATGGGTGAACGCTGTTGCATCCAAGGAAGCTGTTAATGCGCCTATGGGGTCGGTCATCTCATCCAAACATCTATTGGTGTGAGTTCGGGGCTGTAGATGCTAAAAGCCCTCTTGCGACGCTCAAGTGGTACTGGGCAGTACTGGATGAGTATGCCTGTTAGTGAGTGCGTACCACCTATCCTCTATCCCATATTTACACATGTAGCCCCCCGCTTCTCCACCAAATCTGCCCGCACCGAAGGTGCCGAGGCGTTTTTGGGCGGGTGCCCTGTATTGCTCTAGAATCCTGTGTTTTTCATGTTTTTTTAAGCAACCTAAGATTGGCTAAGTTGCCAAACCTGGGCTCAACATGGCCCAACATAGGCCCAACATGGGCCCAACATAGGCCCAACATAGGCCCAACATAGGCCCAACATGGCTCACCATGGCCAATATAGGCCCAACATAGGCCCAACATAGGCCCAACATAGGCCCAACATGGCTCACCATGGCCAATATAGGCCCAGCAATACGGCCCAACATAGAACATATATGGTTTTATTGGAACTTCGGAGCTAACACTCCGTCGCGGACGGTTGTCGCCGCGAAGCGACCAGAATAGATGTATCCATGTGTATAAATAGTATAATTTCATAAACATATATTTTTTTACCTATTTATCTATTTATAGATTTATAGACTTTTTGAAAATTTTATTTATATATATATATTCATATATGCATATATGCATATATATATATATATATATTCATTTATTTATATATTTATTCATTTGTTTAATTTATTTATAGATTTATAGTATGTTTTAATATTTATATATATATACGTATATATATATTTATTTATATTTATATATATATATATATATTTATATATTTTTTATATATTTATATATTTATATATTTATATATTTATATATTTATATATTTGTATATGCATATATGCATATATATATATTTATTTGTATATCTATCTGTATCTATCCCTATATTTATTTATTCATCTATCTATTTATAGTCTATAGTATAATTATACATATGGATACACATAAATACATTATGTTTATATATATATATACGTATTGTGAGAGAGATAGAGACAGAGAGAGAGTGACACCCTGAGAGATCGAAAGTTGTGATTTGCTACGATGTCTTTTTTCCAGTGGGATTACCAGCTTCTATCTTCGGTACGGGGGTACTGCAGCACTGCAATGTGGTTTAATAGGTTCTGATCCATCCCCACATAAATACACTACATATACATATAGATATATATATATATGTATGTATACACTATAGCAACCCAAAAAAGATAGAAGTTGGTAAAATCCCACAAACATAGTCGTACATTACTAAACTCTGCTTTTGGGGCTCACTATATGATAGGTAAAGTCAATAATAAATTATCCCCAATAGAGATTTATGAAATTGGGTATGCCCCTATGTTCGAGATGATTTTTAGTATCACCCCCAGTCATGATTGGTTAATGGGATGGTTTCTTATAGGATTTACCACAGCCCATCCAACTAAAATCCCATTATATAAAAGTTATGAAATCACCATGAAATCCCGTTAAATCACCTTGCATTCCCATTGGATTTACCGCATTACATCAAGTTGGTTAGTTATATCAGTCATATCTTATATCCCATTCCATCTCATTACAGTAAAACCCATAAAACCCTATAAATCTCCGTGGGATAATATCTATATATATATATGTGTGTGTGTGTGCCAATTATATACCTGTCATAGATAATATTATATCCCATTCAACCTCATTAAATCCCATGAAACCTCATTAAATCACCATAAAATCCCATGAAAATCCCATTAAATCCTATAAACCCTATAAATCATTATAATCTATATAAGGCCACTATAGGATTATATACCTGTGCCAACAAATAGCTGTGCCATCGGCCTCCAGCTCAGAGGCACTGCAATAGCTGCGTCGCGCCAACATATTGGGCACGTCCTTCCAGTTGCCACTGCTATCCTCGCAGCGATCATCGAACTCAATGGATCTCAGCGGATGATTGTTCAAGCCATCCACCGGAGGGTAGAATGATTCTTTTACCATGTTTCGTGGGATTTCGGGTTGCATTCAAATTTTGGCCACAGAAAAACAATTATTATAACCAAAGATTCTCCCATTATTTCCATCATTTCCAATTGGTATCCCATCATTTCACCATTCTTATCACATGATTGAGCATGATTCTCCCATGATTCACCATGCTTTTAACCGTTACACCAGATTTTGTGAAATCCTGCGGTACAAACCGCCTCAGGAGTGAAGCTCTGAACCGTCTTCAGGGGCTTCTGCCCATCGTGGCCGCCAAAGAGGTAGGCCTTCACCGGCTGGATTTCATGGGATTAAAATATATTAAAATGGGGAAATTTGCGGAAAAAGGATGAAAAAGTGGGATGAGTGGAGGAATGAAGTCTCGAATTATTCCTAATTACTTCAGAAATCATCTTGATGGCCACGTATTTGGGCATCCGGGCATCTTCCAGTTTGAGACACGTCCAAATGGAGAGTTTTGGAGGGGATTCTTGTGGAAAGAAAATGTCTTCCTCAAGGTTGAAAGCCACTATCACAAATGTTGGTGATTTACACTGTTTCCGTAGGATGCGCTCAAATAATATGGACAGAATTTCAAGAATTGCTTGCAAGCAAAAACCAATGGCCAACATCTTTTTCCAACCCTACAAGGTATTTGAAAACCTCCTTTACCTTGATGATGGTTGGTGATACCTTCCAGTCAACTATGTTGCTGGCTGTATCATGGGTTTTCCCACATCTGTCCTAGTTCACAGCTGTGTTTTCTTGGTTCACCTCCCAGACGGGACTTGAGGGGATTCCAGGCCCCCCGCAGTACCTTGCTAAAGCAAGAGGGACTTCAGCTAGCAGAAGCTAGCTTTCGTGAAAAGAGACCCTAATCAATGTTATTTCCCATTCAATTCCATCCCTTTTCCCGACCCCCACTATCCGCCTGGCCATTGCACACGCTGCTGGACAGCCCCGCCCGTCCCGTGTTTTCCGCCCTGAAGTAGCGTTTCGCCAGCGCCATCGCGGAGTAGCTGGAGCCGCGATGGTGGCTTCATGTGATTTCATGCTTCCATTGGAAACCAACGCAAGGATGGCAGAAAATCCCTCGCGTGATCCTCCTCGGTTTCAAAAAATGAAGTATGAAACTAACAATCCGAGCTTCACCACTATATAATACATTGCCACCATTCGATTAATATATACCCTCTGTTGTGGGGGGACCCCAGAACAAATCAGATCCAAACCTAAACCAGTTCGGCAAATTAATCTTCCAAGTTCATGCAAAAATTGCAATTTTCATGTGTAAAAATTGTCTTTTGAACTATTTGAAGGGTTGACGGAGCCCTTTTGGTTGGAGCAATGGAATCAATCCCAATTTCACCCTTCTCAATCTGTTATGCTCAACGACTCACTCACATGTCTGGCTCCCCATTTGTGCTGCTTAAAAATCCTTGGTACCTGTTGTGTAAAGTCCCATTTTTGAAGGATTAAATCTCCATCCATTCCAGCCCCCGTTGGTTGCCTTAATTTATCTTTTTTGCTGGTTTCAACCGTCGGCTAGCCCTAGTTTTCCTGCTTTAAGTCCCAACTGTCGAATGATCTTTTCCAACTACTGGCTAAATCACCACTTTCATCCATTTTTTTCTGACTTCTCAATGGTCAACTCCTATTGGGTCCTGTCGGCTAAGTCCCCTGCTTTCCTTTCTAAAATATTCACTTCTTCGAGACTGAAGTCACGTGTTGTTTTTCCCTAAAATCCCTAAATTTTCTCTAAAATCCTATGAAAAAAATAGATAAAATGGTTCCAACCCCTTGGGCCCCCTGGGCACCCCAGGCATCGAGCAGTCGCCGTCCACGCTCAAGGCCACCCGCTGCTCCGGTGCCCTTTCGGAGGAGCCGAAGATCTCACCATCCAAGCGACCTGGGTCGCTGGGGATTTCAGGGAAAACCCCGTTACGGGAAACCATGGATTATATCCCAACATTTAACGGGTTCCTGCAAATTCTGCCTTCAGTTCTGGGGAAATGATGTTGCTATTTCTTGTGGTAATTTTTAATATATGGATGCAGTAAATGTTTCAATATGTTTCAATACTATCGACTATCAACAAAAAACACAGGGTTATCATCTGTCCTCATTGAAATGGCAATTGTGGTGCTTCTGCAGGCCACCTGACAATCAGGGCTGTAGAAGGACACTTCGAAGACGCGCCAGGCGCCTGTGAAATCTCTCAGCTCCACCGGGTGAATTTTTGGGGGGCAGCTTTCGGGTGAAGCCATAAAGTTTTTTTTTCATGATTTTTGCTCAGCAACATACGATTACGACTGGGGTGGTTGTTTCTGCTTCCCCACAAAACATGCTCAGGTCGGCCAGCAACAACGGAAGTTGATGACTGGAAGAGGATTTTTCCATATATTGTCCCACGCAAACTTCCACAACTTGAGGAGTAACCGGTTTCTTATCCAACATGATAAGCCAGAAAAAACCATTCTTGATGATTGACCTCATAAACATGAGGCTTCCTGGCTTTTGGGTGCCATGTTTCCTTACAGGAAGGTATCTGGAATTTGGGACAGCTACTCCAACCCCACACCTGACGCTCCCACATCATGCCCGTGGCATGGCTGGGGCTGCGGCTGTTGAGCTGCAATGGGAGTCAGCAGCATAGGGGGGTGAGAATCAACCGTTCATCCTTTTGAAGATGTGATCATGTCAATATAAAAAAAAAAAGTAGTGTGTGATATGTTATGTTTATATATATATATATGAAAAAATCGCATGTATTTACATATATATGTGTGTGTGTGTAATATTCAATTATGTACAAACATCCTTTCACTTTCACTTTCCGCCTATGTCCTGAGGCTGCCCATTTAGGGTGCTTTTGGGTGAGACAAAAGCTGACAAAACCCACAAACTCCGGCAGAAATCGTCCAAATGTTTGTCCCACAATGTCCCACAGATCGAAAGGTCTTCCTTGCTTTCTCCTAGTCACGTTCCACTTTACCGCTCCGTTTAAACCACTTTTTGGAGCAGCCAATTGTAAAGCATGCCCATTCGTATTAAAGTTTGTCTCCAACGTTTGATCGAATTTAATCGCCAACGAATGGCTTGGCCCTGAAAAATCTTGAGTCATACTCGCAGCCTCATAGCTGATACAGTATATAGAGGGATGATGAACAAATGGTCCTCAACTTGGCTGTTGGGACCATGTGTCTATGCCAGTCTGGATACAGTATGTCCCCAGGTCGTTCTGCTGTTTCAACTTGCTTGAAAAGGCAGATGAATCCAAGACCAAGCACGCCATTTTTCACTTTTACTGCCATCATTCTCAGTTCAGAACAGGGTCCGCTGTTGGTGGCAAACCATATCACCAGGAGAACATGAGGTGATGTGCCAATCCTTCAGGTTCCGAAACAGGTACGGCGTTCAAGAGCTCTGCAGGTCATGGTTGAGCGTATCCAGCATCCCAATCTCTGGATCGTCACATCATGACACATTCCAGAAACCAAAAGGAAGTGCAAAATTAGTGGTTGGCTGAACACATAAACATGATGATGATGATGATGATGATGAGGATGAGGAGGAGGAGGAGGACGATGACGATGACGATGACGACAACGACGACGACGACAATACTAAGGACTCTATATACATATATATATAAAAATATATACATATAAGTATAAGAATATAAAGAAAATATATAATTATATATATATATGTTATATATATATATGTATACGTTTGTTTGTGTGATAATTCATCTGTTTGGGAGAGGTTCCCCTCATCTAAACCTCATTTAGGTCAGCTAATGAGGCCGCCGTGACAATTCATCCACACCTATTGGCGTATCCACCATTTCGAGACTCTTACCCCAGCCAATTTTGGGAGCGTTCTGACACGCAGTGCCACTTGATTTGAGAGCCTTCCGAGGAAGCCTCGAAGGACCGGGAATTGACTAGGGTGCCCAGCCCTTTGCTCATGGATGGTCATGGCTGGTAAAGGAGAATCTTCATCTTTTTTTTAGATTTTACACAGTTTTATCGGTTTTTGATGCTCAAAACTTTGTCAGGTGATTTTTACACATTTTAACATTTTTTTTACATATGTTTACCTGTCGCATCTTTGCCATGCCAGGACCGATCATGGCATCTGCACAGCCGCAGTGCCGTGCTGCAGGCGCCGACCTAGGACTCACGTGGCGCAGCGTGGGCTATCTCCTGACGCAGCGTGGCAGTTGTGAAAGTCCATAAAAAATGAGATTTTTTTAAAAAAAAAAAAGTGTATTAGCATGTATCAACGGCATCTTCAAGTCTGGTTTTGGAGTTTTATGAATTTCATAATTTCATGATGTTTTATGTCTGAGTCTCTTGTCATCTCTTGTCACTGCGGTTTTTTGGGTAAATCATCGGTAAATCTCTGCGGCGGCGCCGGACTTCTCTTCTCACCCTGCGCAGCTCTCCGGAGGTCTCTAGTGGCGACAACAGGTGTGTCGGTGACGAAGCAGGGCACCCCTGCTACGGAAATCGGATGGGGAAATGAACAGGAAACACGGACCATTTCTGAACCCTGGGAAAAATCATGATGAACTATGATGAACTGATGAACTCACAACCCACAATGGAGGATGAAACAAACAATGCAAGACATGATCTTTGATTCCCCTAACGCCTGTGTGGTTTGCAACCTAAATGAACTACTGGATTTTAGGGGGTTCCCAAAATATTCAGACAAACCCAAATATCCCAAATGAAGTCTCCCTACTTGCATTGCCTTGAGGATGCTCCCCGGAAGCCTGAAATATCGGCGGCCGCAAAGAAAATTCTGTTTGGACCTCTTAAATAATCGAGCCCATGCACTCGCAAGAACTTCCGAAGCGTCAAATGAGCCTGTGACCTAAGAATGGTCTAAAGATGTCTAAAGTCTATGCGTTAAAAGAGTTGATAAGTCATGCTGTTTTTTTCCCAGCTCTAAACTCTCCATTGAGTTTTGGATTCTCTCAGCCAGCCACCTTTGACCGGTCATTCCTTCCACCCGATGTCATCCCTATCCCCGGGCGTCGGGAGACGGCTCAGAGGTCGTCCATCTCCTCCTGTCTCGAGGCATCGTACTGCGGAATGAGGCCTGGCACCTGCATCCTGCGACGCTCTTCGGAAACCAGGTGGTTTTTTGTGGGGAAACCGGGAAACCGGGAAACCTTACTGGGTTCCAAAGCCCCAAATGATGGAAAATTCTGAAAGGACTTCAAAGCACTTTCAAAAGCCTAGAAACATCATCCGTTTCAAACTTTGGGGAGGTACTATTCTGGGTAAATGATGACAATTAACTATTAACCGCCCATTAAACCATCTCTTAAATCGTAAACAATCAAGAACGGTCATCAGGAATCACTGGGCACATTATAATCCCAATCCCATCTACGGTAGATGACACTGCGCCAACACCACGATAAGGCACTGACTTGCTGGACAACGACAATTCTTTGTACTGTTCTCTGATTACTATTATGGTATATAAGTTACGGAGCTGTAGTAGCTTCCTATCCAAATAACCCCCAATAGTTCAGGCCCCCAAATGAATTCAACACTAAACCTGGATTTTTAGGGTGGCATTTCCGTTTAGATTCGGGAAGGAGTTGAATATCAGGGGGAAGGGACGAATCAATTCACAAAGCTGAAATGTATTGTAATCTCAGGTCATTTGAAGGTGATTATCGACATAGATCAATGTTTCCAGCCACATTGCAGTGGAGGTCACCCTATTTGGGTGGAGCCACTGTGGATTGGCTGGTGGCTGGTGGCTATTTCAGATATTTCAGAATCCTTATGGGTCAAACAAATGAAGACCAGGATAGAAATGATTAGAAATGGCTAATACACCTGTGAACTACGGAAAGTCTCAACTGACCAGCCCCTCACACGAAAAAGGATCAATGAAACGATCTCCCCAGGAGATTTCCTATGAGCCAGGACCCAAAATGCAAAAAAATGCCAGCTTCAGCAAACCCAAGGTATTTTCTTGCATTCCCAGCTATCAAGTAATTCTTACTGGAAATTTCTCAGCTATTGTCATTTAGTTACATGTCGATTCCTTGCGTCTTGCCCAATTATTGTAACAGTGGCACGAAGAGGGCACGATTTGGTGCACACAAAAAGCGCAAAAAATGGACTAGAGCGTGATTTGGTGAACGAAAAACAAAACAAAAAAGTGCGACCTGGACCTGGAGCACGACTCGGTGAACAAAGAAAACCACAAAAAAATATGAACTGGAGCACGATTTGGTGCACGAAGAAAACCACAAAAACAAAACACGATTTGGAGCACGAAGCAAAACACAAAACAACACGAACTGGAGCACGATTTGGTGCACGAGGAAAAACCACAAAGCACAGACTAGAGTACGATTTGGTGCACAAAAAGAATAGGAGAAAAACTGTGATTTTATGGTGCTTCTTTTGGGGTTGTTTAGTAAGAAACCTATTTATCGGCTGTCAGAGTTACAATAGATGGGAAACACGCAATCTATCCCCTATAGCCTATATCCCAGCTATTCAACGGTGTTTTCCAAAAATGGTACCTCCAAATCATCCATTAAGATGTTCCCTTAACCATCCAGCTATTGGGGTACCCCCATGGGAAACCACAGCCATGACCAGTTCGCCGTCCTCAGTTGTCGATCCAACTGTTGTTGTTCATCCTGGGCCGCTTGACGATCAGCCTCGTACAACGCAGACTCGTGACTGCCCCACTCCTGGCACGGCTTTGATGGGCAGGATGCTTGGGACATGACATGAGGAAAAAAAACTATTTATGTTTTTTTTTATTGTTTTTTGGGGCTAACTCAATCCAAGTTCACTCGCTTGCGTTCAACCAACAAGGATTCTGTAATTGGATTTGATTGGCAACAATTGGGATTTGACCAGCAAAAACTTTGCACCTGGTCCAGAGGAAGAACAAAACAGCAAAATACCGTAGCATACGTATCCAAAATACATCAAAATACGGACGTTGCACAGAAACGATATTTTATTTTTTGGGGGGAGGGGTGGTGCAATCAACAGTACATAAGACGGACATTACAAAATGGGTCAAACAGTACCAATGGTCCCCCGGGCAAATAATGTCCCACCTTCAGTTGGATCAAGAAGTCGCGAATGTGCTGTTGAAACTCTGCCGGCTGCCGCGATTTATTGAAGCCTAGGGGCTTCCGCGCCAACGGAGATTCCGCGGGCCCAAAAATGGAAGATGCCAACGGAGAAATCCAAGGTGGAAGACATCTTATTCTGAGATCTGCAGGTGGAACAGCTATACAAACTGTTACGTTTGCTCAACCATATCAACAGTGACCTAGAACTGCATTGCCATCCCAAACAGGTTGGCATTCCAAGGAACAGTTCAGCACAAAGATCTCCACTTGACTCTGATTCCTCAGCTGCGGTCATATTCTTCTGGGCCATGACTGTTCCCTGCTGCATTGATCTTAACCATTCTGAACCCAGGATTCATCAACCTCTGGTTGATGAGCACAATTCAATACGGAGAGTGTCATTTCTGTCAGCACACTGTTCGAGCTACTTTCTCTATCAAGACTACCTTGTGGGCGATTGCCCAGAATTTGACAACGAAAATGATGTTTGCGGTAACCTACCCGAAAAGAGGGAGAAAAAGAAACATGACTTCTTTCAGGACCCCTGTCGAATCAGAAGGCGTTGTGTGGCCAATCCGAACCGACCCAGCAACCGAGCGACAACGTGGGGAAGGATTTCCCAATGAGGTTGAACAGGAACTCCATCACCTATCGAAATCCCATAGCCCCAAAGCTTAAAAGGCCCCTGCAGCTGCAGCACTATTGAATGGGCCTCTTTGAAAATGTACACCCCTACAGCTATCAGGGGCTTCAAAAATTCCACATCGCACTTCAGCCCACCATTATGTGTCAGTTGTTCGGATACAGTAAGTTGAACCATTTTCACACAACCTAGACGCGCGCTTTTTTGCGTCACTACCATCCAACCGCACCCCATCCCATAGGGCAAAATAGAGGCGCCGGTCTGGCATTCCATTTATGATCATTGTCCAATTGGTTGCTGGTGAGGGTTTGGGACAATAGATACTGAGAATCGCATTCAAAAAAATATAAAAAATAGTCCCATGCGGCCCATACTGCTGGGTATACTTTGTTTGATGCCTTCCAGCACCGCCACATCCATATCCGGCACCTGCTTTTTGGGCGCTGCCTCTGCGAGAGTTCCGTTCTCCACTGCTACAATGAGCTGCAACAAAATGTGTTGCCTAGGCGGTTGAACCTGGTTTTTTTTTCGGAGTTTGACTGGAAACCATGGCCGTTTTCCGGTCAAATATTGGGTGCAGATTTTCCCTTCAACTGATTCTGGGATTGTTAGTCTTTCACCATCCCATTCGTTGATCTCGGAATCCCTGGTCGAGACCAACGAAGAGTTGCCATGGAAACTAATGGAACCAAACAAAAACATGCTTTGAAAAATGAAATTACGATTCAAGTTTGGAAATGGCCACTTTCTTGGTGTGGTGAAATCTCGCAGATCTATGGGGATGATACGTTTTTTCTATTGCAGTACCGTTGACAGCCACATGGACCATATGGAGATATGATTATGGTCCATATGGTAATACCATCTTTTGGAGGGAAAAAAAGCTTTGTACAATGAAGATCCAAATCCTTGGGGACCAGCTGGAAGTGATGATTGATCCGGATGCACATGCCAGCTGTGCCAGATTTTGATCTGCAGCTATAGATGCAGCGCTCGATTTTTGAGGAGAAACAGATGCCCCCCTGTGAGTAACGGTGATTTTATGAAACGAAACATGTGAAAATTCCAGTGAAAAAAAGTGAAGATATGACGAGTGAGCGGGAGCTCCTCACAAAACTGCCAGCCAACAAACTTCGAACTGGGAACTTAACCAGCAACAAATCAAGAACTGGGGATGCCAGGCCCATAAAAGATGTAAATTTCTACTGCCAGGCCATAAAGAATGCCACCAAGACTGGATGCTTCAGTTCTAAAAATCTCTTTTGCTACCACCAAAAAGATAGAGAAGTATTTTCCGACCATGGATTGCTATAGAGTCTTAGAATGAACAACCAATTTGCAAGTTTAAAACGTTTAAAGAACCTCTTTAGTTTTGGCAAGCTGTCCAAAGCCACTTCTTCCCCCCATGTCCGAATTTCCTCATGGCACCACCCAACGCAGGATTGAGTTTTTCCAGCTTGACACTGTTGGTTGCGGGAGGGTTAACTCTCCATCTACTGTTTCCTGCAGTGCCCAACTCTTCATCATCTGCACAGTGGCGCCAGGTGTAGCCAAGTTGCTGCAACTTGAAGCCGCTCTTGTGGGAAGTATCAGTGAGGACGCACAGCACATCCTGACCAGTTTACGGCTGCAGCTTGCGACAGGTCTGGGGTCCAGATACAGGCCCAGGTCTATAGCTGGAACATCGACACAAAACCTCAATGTGTGAGTTTATTCGTGGCTTATTAAGTACCAAGCAATGGCGAAGCCAACCCCCAACCAATAAGAAACACCTCAGCCAGCCAGGCAAACGCTCCTGCAAAATCAGGAAGTAGTATTGTTTGAAGAAGGCCACGTTCCTTGCAGGCTTGCAATCCAGGAGGGGGCCTTGCAAAGACTTAAAGAAACTTGTGGCAAAGGAACTAAGAAACCTACTAATACATGGAATCGCTATGGGAAACTGATGAAAAATTATAAGGTTCCTAGAATAAGCCATCCCCAACATCACTAGAAATGGGGATTGAAACCTCCAAAATTGGAGCTCTCCAAAGTTTTACACCGGAGTTTACCACCTGATTCCACATTCTCCATTGGATAATGTGACCGGTTTATCCAGGGATCATGGTGCTGGGTGTACTGGTCAAGAGCTTCTGAAGGAACTCCGACAAGACCTGCAAGCCGCTGTCTGCCACCTGGCTTTTTCGCTTTTTGGGCTCCCGAGCGCTCTTCCAGCTGATGGCTTTCAGGGGAATCCCTAAGAAATCTTAACTCTGAAGAAATCATCCATTGATCCTCACCTCCCAAAGTTTTTGATGGTTGATCAGTTGATCCTCGGAAGCTCGGATCAAAATTAGAAACAGCCCACAGCACAGCCACCTGCGGCTGTTCATGTTTCATGGCCCAAATCAGAGAGTCCACATAAAGTTTCACCTGGCACCAGGGCTACAAGGCTGCAACTTCTGGATTTCCGGGGGGGTCAAACAGTTCAACCAATCAAAAATGTTACAGTAATTTTGGCCGCCATCAATCTATACTATACGGATACAACCAGCCAAAAAATGCGGCAAGTCTCTTTGAAAAATCTGGATGTGCGGATTTAATCAAAAAAACTTCGTCAAGCAAGCAAACATGCATCCGTTGACCAACCCAAATTGAGGTTCAATTTGGAAACAAAATGAATCCGAATTCGAACCCCTGATTGTGTATATTGTATATTCAATGCTTTCAAATGTGTGGTTCCTCAGTCTCGAACACAACTTATGGTGGGGGTTCCTTGAGGTCAATACAAATTATCCTGAAAAAAATGAAAACATGACCCTAGTTCGAAAACCTCCAAAGAGCTGAGTGTAAGAGGCTCTTGCTGTTTGAAATAAAAACCCAATGTTCATAAAATTTTCCGGGTGAATGCCCACCATCAAGTAGAATATATCTGGTACAAGTGCTGGACCATTCGCCCGATTGGACCAACCACCCCCAGGCCTGTGCTTCAGGCAGGTAGAACAAAGCCTGTGGACTTGACAGATGGGGTCAGCTGGGTCAGCTGGGTCAGCCTCTCAAAATCAGACCAAGACCCCAGAACAACGGGAAAAAACCATCAGAACTCCAATGGATCTATGATGCAATCTTGTGTGCCCTATGAGTCAAACTTCGGAAGCCCATTTTTTGGGCTACACATCTCCTTCAAGGATCCACCACACCAGGCCCCCACCTGGAAACAGTGGGCGTTGATGGCCTTCAGAAGGTCATAGAGCTTCACCCTGCAACCGTGTGACCAACTGAAGCAGGAACTGAATTGACGTCAAACGCGAGTGATTTGTCCCAGATCTTGGGGGGCATAACCCAAGATTGCCATTTGAATGGGCATTGAATGGGGGAAATGATCCTAACCGTCCTAACCCTGATGCATCCGCTGGGACGATGAGACACAGCCGCGTGCCTGTGATCTGGATAACTCTGGAAGTCGCCCTTGATCATGTCCTGATTTTGGGGCATGACTCGAAAGTGATGCACAAGAGATATCGTAACTTTGGCTAGATTGCATAAGAATGTTCATATACACCCCTGATCACCCCAGCTCATATCCTGAATGCTTCCAAACAATGGCACAAAGCTGGCAATCTCAACCTTCTACCATCTCTACACCCCTGAAAAAGTTGCACGTTAGTTTTCAAGTGGAAGGGCGTGATTCAAAAAACAAGCTGAGATGGTGCAACAGCCCCTTCCATCATCCTACGAATTTCAGAACCTAAAATGGAGGTACTGTAGCATACAAGGCCATATTTTGTGGGGATATTCCCTTACATAGGCCTTATATAGGCCTTGTAATGGTAGGTACCTCCAAGTTAGGTTCCTGTTGCATGGCCATTGACATCAGGGATGCTCCAAGAGTCACAGGTACATTCCAGGACCATCTCAAAGATTCTCCCCACCTGTGCCGGAGGCCAGCCAGGGTGTTGATGCGGAAGAGGTGGAATATATTGTGCGGAATGGCGGGATGGCAGAAAGCATTGTGCTATCTGACAATCTACCGATGACATCCCACGACAATCTTCTCTCACCCTATGTATATCTATGATTATCTATGTATCGATCAGTGAATCTCCTCATGATATATTTATATATACATATACATACATACATACATACATACATACATATATATATATATATTATGTATGTGTAAAGATTGAGATATACATCAGATCCAAGACATACAGACACGGATACCGCAGATTCATCAATGGATAGCTTCTCCGGTCCAATAACAAACTTGGCGTTTCCCGCGCCAAAAAGACAACTGGAAAATGGAGGATCAGCGGGGGCTTTTGCAGAAACCTATATGGCCAACTATCAATGATTAAGTTGGATGGTTACAGATAGTAATTATATGTAATTATGTATCTTAAGTCCATTGGTCAGTACCTCTTTGGGCTTCTAAAATCCCAAATTTCTTATTGGTCAACCAGGTTTGTCGCTGAAAACTCCCACTTTTTCTAGGTTTGAACTCCGAAAAATATACATGTGCGCGTGTAAATCCCATTCCTTGTATCTTTACCCCCGAAAAAAGACATCAATTCGAAATCTCTCAAAAAAACCTTAGCGTTTTTCGCCACCGGCCTCCTGTGAGATGGACGCGCTGATGCGTGTGGCCAGGACGGCCAACAAGTCCAGGACTTCGGCATCCCGCGCTTGGGGGATGTTGCTGCGGTAATCCGCCAGCACGGGCTCCTCCCAAAATGGCTTGGTGGTCTATCTCCGTAGATCAGGCTGATCGTTTAGCTACTGAAGTACTGAAGTACCCTGTCAAAGATTTACCCAGGATACATCCCTCTTAATGTTATTAAGCCTGGATTGATAAACCCCCCTGGTACCACTTTTGATAGCACTTTAGGGCTTTAGGGGGCAAAACCCTCAATTCATGGTCAGGGCCGGGGTCTATTTAGTGGCGCTTGACATTGACAGGCATGTTTGATTACCCCATTAAATTAAATCCCTTTAAATATCATTAAGTCTCATTAAACCCCTATGTGTTGTTGATGAGGGTTTGACATTTTTAACACTCTTGGCGACAGGGGGAGTTATGCGGTGCTATGCGGGGCTATGCGGCGCTATGCGGTGCTATGCGGGCCGGTGAAAATTCATGCCCCCCTACTGCCTGCAATGATTTTTAATGTGATTGTTGGTAGTTAAGATTCGCCAAAAAAAATACAATCGGGTGTGGGGTTGGTCAAGTTCGTATGATATATGTAGAAACAAGCTAGTAACCGGGATTAGCCAACAATTACACTACCTGCGGACAGCACTGTTTCTTGAGCCTTGAGCCTTGAGCCCTGGCAACACAGTATATAGGAGTGAGACACTACAATGAAGCTATGTATATGGGAATACTGTGCAACAACACCCCCCGTGCAGTGAAACACTATACATGGGGTGAAGCTGCAAACCCATTTCGTGCACAGTTTACGTAAGGGATGCCTAAAAACAACAACTTAGTTACCTATAGGACCCCAAACTCGGATGCACGGCCTTCCTTCCATAGCTTTTGTGTCATCACCTCAGTGTTGCGCGAAGTCTGCAAGAGCAAAACATGACGATGCATAACAATTGACTCGACATCAAGTACGAAGGTCAACGGATGCGATGAACATCAATTCGGTCGAATGCAGCAATATCAGGTTTTGGGCTCTACCGGGCTTGCGGTCGAACATGCACAGTGGAAAAAGGACTTGGCCCGTTACATAGGCCTGCGTTTCCACGCGGCATCAAAAGTTCTTGTGGACGCCCGGGAGCTGCCAAAGCAAGCGATATGAATTAAAGCAAAATGCTGAATTCGGTTTTGATGTGAACCCGCAGGGAAGCTTTCAGAAATGCTTCAAAGCTGCCTTATCTTCGCAAGGCAAGAGCTTCCGCTCTGCGGTACATGCAACTACCAGCCGTGTGCTATGCAAGAAGGAATCATGGCAAGAATAAGATGAGTGCCAAATGCCAGCTTCAAATTATATGCATTCAAAGCGTTAATGAAACTTTTGTGAACTTGAATGAGTTGGCAAAAATTCCGACTTAGCACACTTGAGTTGGAAATGATGGTGGAATCGCGCACCCACCCGTGCATTGGAGCTAATCACCTACCCGAATTAAATCAAAGTAGGCAACAGCTTCCGCTGTGCGACACTCGGCATAGAGAAAACTACCCCGCCTCAGATGAAAAAGAATTCCCCAGGCGAGAGGTTCCCCTCCGCGGTGTCTCAGCGATAGCCCGACCAACGTCGATCCCTGTACTGGTGGCCTTGATTTCGACGGCGCCAATCCTCCCACTCCTGGTCAGTCCACTGATTGTAGTAATCATTCCACTCCTGCTGACTGTAGCCATGCGTGGGTCCCTGATGTGATCCGTACCCAGGACGCGAAGACCTGGTCACATCTGGGTTCTGCTGCTTGGTTGCAGGCAGGGGTCGGCTTCCGCCTTCCGTGTCCTTTGCCTCCGTGAGGGGGCGCAAGATGTCGTCGACATAGCTGAGAATGTCGGCATACACATCCTGCTTGGACAGGGCGAGGGACTGAAACGTCGTGTTGGCGGCGCTCAGAACCTCGAAGCGATCGGCCACAGGGATCAAGGCATAGGCGGCCGCGAACTGGTTGGCACGGTAAAAGCGGTTCTTGTACCAGATGAGTACATGATCATCCACGATGATCGTCTTCATCTGCTCCTCCTCGTATGCGACCAGGCACATACGCGCTTTATACTGCCGAATCTTTCCAGTTCGGATCTCCTCGCGGGTGCGTTTGATGGAGGGAAGCACCACGTTGCCCAAAACGGTTATCCAATGCATACACCGAGGTGTAAGGTCCTGGACTGCGCAGTTGAAGGCGTAGTGGGCGTCCGTTCCCAGACGCTGCAACAAAGTCAGCCCCGCCTTTCTCGCCTGCTTCATGTATGAGCGGGCGTGATTCTTGAGGACAGCAGCAGCAGATCTGATCTGCTTGGCACCTTGGGTGGTGCCGGCTACGTCGTCGTCGCCCAGAAGGTCCAAAGTCAGCTCGAACCCGAGCTTCTCGGCCAATTCTTCCAGGCGGAAGACCTGACATGCACGACGCATGTCGGACATTGTCACCAGCGACAAGCCGCATGCGAGGCACACCAACATCCCCTCAGGAAAGATCTTCCTGCACCGGGGGCATGTCAATTCCGGCATTGCCAGCATTGAAACATACCGCCAGCGCGTGAGGTTCCCCTCCGCGGATGGGTCAAATGCCTCCTGATCGAAGCGATCAGAACGGCGTTCCCGCGCGTTGTCAGGGGCGATGTCGAAGCCAGCTGCAGTCACCGTCGGCTTGCGCGCCACACAGAGGAGATTGGTGAAGTTGAGCGGCCGTTGCTTGGTCTTTGGCAGCAACTCATCGACGACAGGAAACGGTGTCGGAACTTCCTTGTAAATGAGCGGACGTCGCAGGGTGATGACATCCTTCCACTGATCGTACTCATTCACGAACATGTTCTTCAACACCTCCAGGTCCGAAATCTCGTACCTTTCAAGTTCCTCATAATTGGGAGTGCCCTTCCGAGCCTCGTTCTCTTCCCAAGTGAGAGCGTTCTCGGAGGCCTTCTGCCGAAGGTACTTCTTCACCCCGTTGTAGCCATGGTTCGCCCAAAGGTACTGCGACTTCTCGCAATCGAATGCGTAGATGAGGCAATGATTGGGCACCCAGTCCTCAGAGATGATTGCACCGGCCAAGGTTTCCACCAGGCGAAGACCATAGTGCAAAGCACAATCGGTGTCGATCGCGATGCACAGCGGTCGGTTCGTCCTGACGCCAGGATCCTTGCCTTCGATTTCCCAAGGCGCATGGCGGGTCATATACACATGACCCTTGCACGAAGTGGCCCTTGGAAAAATCCACGTGCAAATGATCTGCTGGAGGGAGTCCCATGAAGTGTAATGGTAAATAACCCTGAACTCTTCGGGGACCTCGGCTTCCGCCAGGTGAGGATAAATGGGGACCCTTGGGTAGAATCCCTTCTTCAAGTCCTCGACCGTGAACTGGTAGTCAAGCGAGATGATTTGCTTGACCAATGGAGCCGTTCCCACCTTCTCGATGAGGGACTGGTCATGGCCTTGGCAGGCCTTCACATGCGTGATGCGATACGGCATGTCCATGGTTGTCAGTTCCCCGACAATTCCAGCTTGGATGCGACACATGAACCTGTCCTGGGTTCGAAGGATCAGGTAGAGATCCTGTCGCGACAGCTGGGCGCGATGCCTCTTCCTCAGGTAGTTGTACATGGACTCGAAGTTCAAGTACAGCTCCTCATCAAATTCAGGAGGAATATGGCGATGGTGCGCCTCGAGGAACTTGTGGTCATAGCCGCGCAGCAGCCCAGTGACCCGCTTGGAGAACTTGAAGTCGTCGTGGCTAAGATGTCCAAGATCTCGAAGGCCAGGCAGTTCAGTGCACCTGATGGTGAACTCCCTGCGCTCGCCCGTTCCCGGGGAGAAAAAGTACCACTTGGGATACCCAGATGGTCGCAAGGGCGGTTCAGCCGGAGGCTGAGGTCCACCCGTTCCCGGGGGAGGAGCACTGGCCATAGGCGGCTCCTTCTTGGCAATCTTCGGGGCAGGCTCCGATGAAGAAGTAGCTGCAGGCGCCGATGACTTCTGCGGAGGTGCCCTCGGTGAGGTTGTTGTCAACATAGCAGGCGGTGCCTTGAAAGGCAAAGCTTTGGGCATAGGATGGTCCGCAGCTTCCGCTGGGAGTGCAGGTGGCTCCGGCTTGGGGGATCCAGTTGCACTCTTCGGAGTCGGTGGCGGACTGGGCTTTGGGGACGCCATGGGAGACGTTCCCGTCGCCGTTGAGACCTTTGGGATCTTCGGAACAGGCTTGGGCTGAATCATGGTGGCCTGATCCCTCATCTTTGGTTTGACGAATTGGCTGACAGTGTCCCCGATCACCTGTGCGATGCCGCTCGAAGATGATGCTGCTTCGGATGAGGAAGCCGCCTTCGACTTGGCCTTCGACATGATCTGGACAGAGGCAGCAGGGTCACCCGCGCGAAGTTTCTCCTCGGCGGTCTTGGGCTCCTCAAAGATCTCCCGTTCCATCTGACGATGCTTCTCCTCATCCGTCAAATCAAAGCGACGAATGATGACCGCACCACCTTCAGTCTGCTGCATGGATTCCTGCCGAAGTTCGAGCTTGGCAGGATCACGTGTGACGTCGGTGTCCAAGATGTTCACTACGCCAGAACCATCCAATTTGAAGTCCACAGCATGGATCTTGTTCATCAGATGGGAGCGCAGCTTCCGCTGGCTAAACATCGATGCCGAGCCGCCGACAATGGGGTCCCTGAAGACAATCTCCTCGTCAGCATCCGGCTCATCAATGTCGCGCTCGTCGGAAACACCTGGCAATCGATCCAGGAAGGGCTTGAGGATGGCGTCGATGAGCTCACCATCCATCTCCGGCTCTTTGACCTCATGTGGTTCAAAGTGCTCGGGTTCCCCCGGCAGTGCAGCATCCACGGACTCCAAAAGCTGCCAGTTCGATGAGGCCACAGTGGCATCATCCTGCACCGTAGGAGCCTGTGGGACTTGTGCACGTGCGGGATCAACTTCGTTGGGAAGTCGTTGCCCTCGAGTCTCCTTCACATAGATTTCCCAACCGTCCACGTCCATGGAGACCAACACTTCTTCCATCTCTTCCCATTCGGGGTTGTTTTCAGGAAGGGGGTT